ATTTTTGTATAGTTGTACCATTTTAAGAAATATTTATGTCGCGATACAGATTTATAAGTACGCTATTGTGATTGATTGCGACGATTTAATTGGTTGACTTTTTCGCCTATAAAAACTGAAGGTCACAATGTCATCAATACACTGCCGAATTACATGTCTTGAAACACCGCAATACAATGTATCATAGAGACCGCACCAGCCAGACTACTATAAAAGCATCAAAATCGTCATCAACAAATTGCGCGTTTTCGTCAGACTCAAAATATTCCTTAGCGTTTTTAAGCCAAAGTCCTACAATAACTTTTGAAGAAATTTTTTCTTTAAATGCATTCAGTAGTGTATTTCTAACAGACAAAAGGTTTGGATGTGAACCTGAGCGCGCAACTTCACCTTTCACAACTAACCAAACACCTTCAATAGGTTGCAGTTCGCGATGGTAAGGAGGGGTAAAATTAACTTCATGTGCGGTGTAAAATTATTGTCACTAGGACCCTTCCAGTCTGACACTACCCTTCCAACTGTACTTTCCCCTACGCCTAACACCTCAGCAACACGCTTGCGTAGCGTGACCTTCTGATGATCCTCCTTTTTAGAGTTAGCCCCCGAAAAATAATTGTAAAACGTTAATTATCATCAACTTTTCATTATTGGTTAATGGGGCACCACTCCGTTTTGTAGAGGAAATATCCATAGTAGAGTAAGATAATATTAGTAAAAAATGTTCATTCAAAAGTCATTTTAATTTTTTTTCGGCTTTTGGTCGCACAGTAACTGAATCTTTTAGTTTTTGGGCGAGGTACCAATCTTTTTGCAACGGCCCATATTATTATTATTATCATTATCGTAATTGTTTCCGAAAAGGAGAACCATTAGTGTAACATTATTCGATCGAACAATATTGCGTATTATAAAGGTAGACCGTCGGGCTTTGATTCTCTGCGCTACAAGTAAAAGGCCTGTTCCTGAGCAGATATATTTGTGATTGTGGACTAAGACGATATCTTCTATTCCGAATAAGCGTTTCGTCATTACCCATGTAGAGGGAAGCAAAGAAATAATTTAGATGTTAGAACAGACTTTTTATTTCTGAATGACCCTCCCAGCTGCATTTTCTCAGTAATACGCTTGTATACTGTGAATTTTGGTAAGAATTTGCGTTATGCAAAACAAGTTTCAGTTATAGGAATGAAGTCATTTTAGACAGGTGACCTACTATTACTATGTAAACATCAATATTAATCCAATATTAATATCTCAATTTAAATCGCACAAATAACTCTAATTAGACAATGTGATAACGATCAATTTGGGGTAGACTAGTTACAGAAACAGACAGATCACGAAAATCCAGTTACGGGAACAGTTTAAAGTTAGCAAGTTCGTCGTTGACTAAAGCATCTAAATCGGTGGGGACAGAACATCAAATTGGGAAGAACGGTTTTAGAATTGCAAGCAAATTCGATAAGCGAATTTAAGCTGGAGCTTAGATAATATTCTAACAATAAATCTGGAAAACATGTGGTTTAAATCCTTCGATTTGGATTGCGCTACATAATAACATACACTGATACCAATAGTAGGGTGAACTGTGGTCAATTAGATTCAGCAGGGCAGGGGTAGAGTAAAAGAATTCTCTCCTTAAATATTCACCCCTACTGTGCAATCATATGATCACCGACAATTTTCTATTGCCCGATAATTTTTTAATCCAACCCTCTTTCCCCTTGTCATTTATACTGTGTCGGACTAGTTGAAGTCGATTTGGTTTTCCTTGCACAGACATGCCCTCTGGTGAATCAGGAGAACTAAGACGCTTCCGCTCGACCATTTCAAGCTCTAACGAACGCTCGTCTCACAGGTTTGCATCCCACTCATAAATTCACTTTACGTTCGCATATAATGAGTAAATACGATTCTTTAGATTTAGCCCTGTACGCTCTTCCGCGCGATTATTTATGCATGCAGTAAAGGACGCACGTAAAAGTGCACGACGATCCAGTGATCAAATAGGTAGCTAATTTACTATTATCATTACCAATGCTGAAACACAGCAAAAAACACGAGTGTGAACATCGATCATACAGGCATTTTCTATTAAAGAATATTTGCATGTAATGACGCAATATTTATACGTGACTGCTTATGACTATTAGAAGAAAGTGAAGATACGACACCTCGGAATAATAAACGACAGCATAGCCCGTACACTGACCATGAATCTAGTTCAGATCAGAAACGTAAAACTCGCAGAGTTGAAAGTGAGTCGGCATTGGAACAGTCTCGTTCACATGACGCCGATATATATCACTATAACAACTTATCTGTGGCCGTTGACAGTTCAATAACGGATCGTTCATCGCACGACGGATTTTCCCCTGAATCAACACCACGTCGAGAGCATGGTAAATCTCGCGTTATATCATTTCGATTATAATGTTTGTCGACGATTTCCCTGGCATGAAATGCATAGTAAACATCAGTTTGTTAACATATTTCATCAGGGAACGAATCACGCGCGGTCGATTCAAGATACGGCAATAATCAGCATCGTAGTATACTAGATAGGCTTGGGAAGAAGGGCGGTATGACAACTGCATACATTAATCCTGCCTTTTTACAAGGCTCTAATGTGACATCGCCCGTCATGCCATCTGATGTTCCCTCCGACAAGAAGGTCTCGAGATGTCGTAATTGGCCTAATTGTGATCTTGGGTCGTCCTGCAGGTTTTATCATCCTACAGAGATATGTCAGTAAGTAATTACGTACTCATCAACAGACTGGCTTCTCCTTGCGCCATCAATTTTTTTTGTTTTTGAACGATATATTAATTCGCTTTATCAGCATGTTTCCGTTTTGCCCTAATTCCCCAAAGTCGTGTCTTTTTATACATCCTGCTGATCAATCATATGGGATGGGTCTCTTTAGCTATGCATATGCTGCTGAGGCATTTCCACGTGCAAATGGAATGTTTGGTATGAACCGAAGCACAGTAGGCGAGAGTGAAATTAAAGGTGTAATTAGAGAAGGTAGTAGTGAACATTCTGTGCAGAATGAAAACAGCTTGGCTAATCAGACTAGTGATGTAACCACAAAATCAACTACCACACCCTCATTTACGGCTACATTGATGGCTACAAGCATGAATTCGATGTCATCCGAATTATTGGATGTCGCTTCTATTTCACAGACAGCTGTTCTGTGTAAATTTGGAGACAATTGCGCGAATGTTAGTAGACATTACACTTAGTTATTATTTGAGGTTTACTTATGTTATTGGTTTATGTATTGTTTTGCCCATGTTATTTCTCACTAAAAAATGAATTCTTTCATTACAGCCTAATTGTAAATTTGCTCACGAAAGTCCTGCCGCCATAGGAAGTGGTAGTGGATATTTTACGACTCTTCTCGACGTGCCATGTAAATTTGGAAGTCGTTGTGTTAATCCCAAATGTCGCTTTTCTCATCTTAGTCCTGCTTCAGGTGAGATTTGTATTATCGAGTATAAGATGGTTATTCCATTTGTTATTTTCTATGCTTGTCGTTTTTGTCATCATTGCTATAACGTTTTCTTGCTGTTTAATATAGCCATTGACGGTCCTGAACCATGTAGATATTATCCCAACTGTGTAAATCCATCGTGTCCATATACGCATATTGACTACAAGTATGGAATTCAGATGATTGTTTTATTGCATTAGAGTATACATTCTGATGAACTGTGTATGGTCTAACAGTGAGTCTGAGAAGCTATCGGTACCGTGTCGCAACGGTGGTAACTGTAAACGGCCGAGATGTCATTTTCTTCACCCATGGGACAAAATAGATGCCTCAAAAATGCCGGTAAGTAGTAATTTCAGACTTGTGGCTTTGAGCGTGCCGTGAACAGCATAAGTTAATATTATTACCATCATCGCAGTGCAAATTTGGTATTCTATGTCGCAGATCAGATTGCAAGTATTATCATCCACAAGGTAAAGCTCAAACTGATTTTAATAAACATATCTCCGAACGCGCGTTTGCAGTCTCGGATGATTTAGTGGAGAGTTTGGTGCCTGCCGAAAAAGATACGGTAGAGATAGAAAACAAAACGGATGAACCTAAACCAGACGAAGAGTCGAAGTCATCTGACAAGAAAGAACAGGAAAATGAAGATACAACTAATTTTGATGAACTCAATATGGATGATGTCAATTGGGATGAGATTGATGATATAATTATTAATGATGGAGATCCAGCTGGACACACTGTCTTTGACATCTAAGAGTGAGAGTAATGTGTGGGATAAAACACATCACCGATGACACATGTATGAATACTTGATGATTACAATTATTTCGTAGAATCGTAGATCTGTCAATTTGGATTACACTTGTAATAAATATCAATGAAAATCTGTTTCCACGTCGTTGTTCGGTTTATGATCGAAGGAATTGCACCTAGCCATTATACCGAACTAATTGCTTTATTACTGACAAAGCTTCGGTTGCAGAAATGTTTTAAACGTGTTGTGTTCAACTTTCTTGATAGTCCAACTTAGAGTTAATGTCCACCGTTAATTTCATGAGACAATTTAAACCGATTTCTCGATAGTTTACGTTTTATTGCATTGTAATAAGTAGATAGAAATCAAATGACCGATGAAATGTGCTGTAAATCATACCTGAAACATTACGAGGAATTCAATCTGCGTTTCTGACGTTAATATTGACTTGGATGACCAACTCTTATAATAAGTGTCTGCTATCCTCTTCATCCATTTCACTGGCTTTTCATGGTTCGAAGGTTTTTCCTCAGTGTATGTTATTTATTGAGACATTAACATGTACCAGAATAGAAAATCAGAGTATAAATATAATGAGTGAGATAATATTTGGCTACTATTAGTTGTCATCATTGTGCGTTTACAGTTGACAATTTGACTGAAAGCACTTTGTCAGCGATGTACACAATAAGCTAAATTGGGTCGTTCTGTATGTAATCCTGAATTTGATCCGGAAGTGTCGTATTAATATAACCATTACCCTTTCAGATGCCGTAAGTCGAAGCATATAAATGACGTAATGATTTAATATCTTTCCCTCAAGTTTTTTGTTCATTTTTCTAGAACAAAAGAGATAGAATTCAGCGGAGATGAGAAAGACTTTGTACAACTGCTTGCTTTACGTTAGTTAATGTTACTTGATAAATACAATGGTAGGAATCAAAGTTGCAGAAAACTGGGATTTTAATGAATTTGAGTAACGTTCCGTTGCTACAAGTTTATGACACATTTTGCATTTTTTATTATAATACAGAAAAACATAGACAAGAAAGTAAATTACTATTTCTCAAATTTTATGACAAATCCCCTCTATCAGATGATTGGTTGCTGTTATTCCATTTTCGTGCGCTAGTCACACTGTCGAAGTGTTCTTCTTATCTCTTCAACATCATCTTTTACTTCACTGTCACTATACCAATTGTCTACTCCGCCCACAATCCGAGGAGAAATAAGCGCAATAACATCATCGCATTCTTTCATAAACGACTTTTGTGCATCCGATCCAATAACCCCAGAAACAAGGACGATTCTACCACCGTAACCCATCTTCCGGAGTATTGCAATCGTACAGCGAGCATTTTGACCAGTTTGAATGCCATCGGTGACGAGTATCACCGTTCCGTCCTCGCCTGGTAATGGCAGATTGAGAGGAGAATATAATTGTGCCTTGTAATTAAGTTCGTTACGGGCAATATCGATGCAGTGCTTGAGTGTTTCCTCAGAGACTCGACACCCACTAAACAAAACGAACAAGATCAACAAGGATGCAAGCGATGGGATATGGTGTCATTTTTCCGAACGTAAATGCGTACCTTATTATTTGGTCTTTCAATAGGACATCGTCCCACCCGTTGGCAACGGCGCCAACAGTCAGGTCGTCTACTTTGAATGAATGGACAAGGAAAAGGTCAAGTGGTAGTTCTAATGACTTGGCAATTTCGGCACCAATAAGAGTAGCGGATGGTTTTATTGCCAATACGACTATAGGAGACAGACAAAACAGCAAATTATATCAGGTTTGGCTTAGTCATCAATAATTTTGTAGTCGTTCGATTGTATCTTACCTGCATTTGAGTGAGGACGGTTATATTTTAGTAGAGTAGCCAATAACTTTCCAACTTCGGTGCGAGAAATGAATTTCTTTTGACCAATACTCGCTCGCCGTGGAAGCGTGTGTGTATTGTTATCGAATTCGTGAGCGCTGAAAAACGATAGAGGACGCTCGGCCAACATTTTGTGTATAGGGTAAATGCAAAGAATATGGTAGGTTTACTTATTGCGAGTCTTCGGTAAAACGGTAAAATAAAAAGGTTTGTTCTTTTGTTGATAAGATAAGTTTGATCCTTGTGCATATTTATATAAATTATGCACGTAATATAAAAAAATTAAATTAAAACTTACTACCAATCATATTAATTTGCGTGTGTAACTGTAGCAATCTGGTGAGCGGATTAGACCATTAATGTGTCCCATTACGAAATATCGTCTATCATCCCACCGTCGATCCATGAAATCCTACAATCATACGACAATCATGTATAATGATGAAAAGGCACACATTGTAACAACCAGAACGTTGATAATATTCATTTTTTATTCGCGGTAGATAAACGGTTGTTCCCAATTATGATAGTTAACGGTAACTCAAGCCCCAACAATTCCCACATTTCTGTTATCTCTGAGTACAAGATTCGATATGCTATATATGGAAAGGGCGTGTACAATGTTACATTCTTTATTTAGTACCTTAAAAGGCATGTTGCGTGTGGGAGAGTATTTGTAATACTGTGTATTGGGGGTAATTCTATCTGCTGTATATTTAATTGCTGTATGTGTTTCCTTATCCGAGTTCATTCTCAAAAAGTATTTGACGCAGCAACATCATCATCCAGTCGATATTGTTCGTTGGTTGTCCAAGATCTGATGTAATCATGTACAATGTTCTATTTTGTATTATCATTTTCACAACTAACGTTATAGTGGTAAGAAGAGTTTTCATGGTCACATAATTTATGAGGCTTTTATTCTTCGACAGGGGAAGGGTCTCATGTACGTATACTCATCCATATATGATATTTTTAGTTTACGAACTAACAAGGGTCCTGCTGAAATGGTGTTTCGTATTGGTGCGTCTACCGAGAAGATATTTTCCTGATGTGGTCAACGGACAGATGGTGGCCCTAATGTCGTAATCGTTGTCGCAGACGATTAGTATGACGCGGAATATAGATGTTCCGTCAGCAAGAGCTTCGTCTGTTGCTAACCCAGCCCCGCATTACATTGCGTAGTTAACTCTGCAAATCACTCGTTCGGTTGCTATGGACTTTAGTTTTTCTAGTTGAATAGATTTCCAAGAGGCGTAAAAAAATTGGATATGCTTAATTATGTGAGAGATACGGCATGTGTCATCCAGTCGTACGAAAAAGGGAGAAGCAAACAGTCGAACTCGTTGGATGATCGTAGCGAGTTATCTTTTCAAGTGATATACTACTACCCACTGGCAGTAAATAGGCTATTTGTAGCCATTGCGTTTAGAAATAGTCTTCTGCGTTTTTCTCGAATGAAGCATATTTACGTAAGCTTGATTTGGTTTTTTTATGTCCTGTTACAGCGAGCGAGCGCGTTCTGGAAGTGTCGACAGTATTGCATCAAATTCGGGAATATTCTTGCAAGGCCTATCGATCGTTTAACGAAATTGCCACACACGATTCTAATTTCTGATGGATAAGATGTGATACCACGAATTATGTTCGTAATAATGACGCATGACGCATGCTGACGCAGTTCACAACGGCGCAACGGCGTACGACCAGTGGCGCACATCAATTAGACCAGGCTAAGAAGTTGGTCATTGCCACACAAATCAACCCAATAATATATTAATCTATGCAAGAATCAGAGAACATATTTAACTAGTAATAGTAAACACTTTATTATAGCGGCTAAAACATTGGTTCAGGCAACTCGCATTAGCATTAGAGGTACCAAGCGGAATTGGCAATCTAAATCCAGTAGTAGTAGACAATAAGGGGTGGAGAAGAGTCTGAACATCTGAGTGTCAGTATTTTAGAGACTGTGCAACATAAATCATGCCTTCATAGAATGCCTAATTGGTTACAAACGTTTTGTAATGTTTATTTATTATGCGATAAAAGCATTGTACAGACGCCGGTATTAGAAACTCGCTCGTTTCATTCAGTGGGTAAATAGCCGACATTTTGCACCAACGATTTACGCTCTTTTACCGTTAAGTAACGAACGTGCCTTAACAGTCTCGTGAAATGCTGATATTTTTCAACATTCCTGTAAACGATACCGGGTTACTCGAGTACCTTAGGCTTTCGCGGGTAACGGTTACTCCGAATTAATTTACCAACGTCTCTAACTTGATCGTTAGTTTGCTAAACTATGTAGCGGAGCTACTTTCACTAGTACTGGCTAACATCATCTTCAGTATTGTTGTACTGTCTGAGTGACTGGGTTCTGAACTGAGACATGTCCCGAACTCAGTCCAAGGGCGTTCAAGTGTGTATTGGCTTCATAAGATAATAGTAACGCATATTGTTGTACCCACTTCGTTTAAAAATGTCAAAAGAACTTTCAGTGTCAGCTTCCGTTGAGCCAAAATTATGTTCAGGGAGGCCAAAAAATGGGGCATCCTGCAACAAAACCAGACAAAGTGAACATCCTATTATGTGATGTGGGGCAGAGAACATTACAAATCAGCTACTCCTGAACAAGAAAAAGAAATTAATGAAGCTCTTTCTTCAAATAAAGATGGTATTGTTATTGAAAAGAGTAAAGTGATTGCTAAACTATGTAATGACAAATTTCCTGGTTATGCAATTATTCTTACAAAAGAACATTTGGGGCAGACTGCAACAAAACCAGACAAAGTGAACATTCTATAAATGAGGGACTGATTGTGATGTGACTGCAAAATTGATCGGGGTGACATGATGTTTTGCCTTGTTGATTTTAATGCTCACTTTATCACACCAAAATGGGATGATTATAAACCAAAACAGGGTTAATATATATAGGATTACCTCTATATAAAATTATAATATGAAACTGATATACATTAAATCTACTATGGAACCCAAAAATTACAGCACTATTAGAAGCATTTTAAAGAAAGAGCAAGGAGAAAAAATTGCACCTTATGTCTTTAAAATTAATAATACCCAAACTCTTCAGGAATATCTAGATCAAGAAAA